AGCGTGGTTTGTTTTGAAAACAGTTATCCACTGGATAGCGATTTATCGGGTAGATACTGAGTATTATCCAGCCTTCGAACAACTGGCGCCAGCTGTTCTATGACGTGGTCTCAACGTGGTCACATAATAAAGACGTTTTACTACAATCGTACCTTAGCACAAGTACAAGTCACAGGTGGAGAGTTGGGTTCTACTTGCACGTCAACAGAGTAAGTTATCTGCAAAGAAGAGAACAAAGCAGTAGAGTCGTTTTGTCGCTCTGCGCGAACATGAAATCACACAATTTAAGGAAAGGTATTGGCTTCATTAACATTCAATTCTTCCAGGGAGAGTACAAAAAATGTATGAAAACCATTACAGAGAATTTTCATGGTGATTTGATTTCAGATGTGCATTACGGGTGAGCGGACACAACGGTGCAGTGTACCGGCAATGGTGCTAACAGACGGTTCCCTTGAACCTCGTATACAAAATCACCATGGCCATCAAATCATGGTTATATCGGTGAAAACTCGTCCAGGCCGTTATTTGAGGGGTTGTCACGCAAGGGTTCTAGCCAGTAGTCAGAAGTGAGAAAGCGTTGCGTAACCGTGCAGCAGAGGACAGGAAAAAACTATACGTAAAATTCAAATGGCAGAAAAGACCCAGGTGAAGGTATGTGGAAGCGTAAAGCAAAGACGGGTTAAAAAAAAATGACAATTTCTATTGCAACTGTCTAAAAACACCGTTCTTCTCTCCTGTTTTATTACTCAAAAGAGCACGGTTCAGCTTACCTTTGCTGTTACAGTCCGTGAACCGACTTGAGAACACTTAACGAAGTAAGACTTCTCGATCTGGAATGAACAAACAACAGCAACACAGTTACACTGCACAAGATGAGTACTTTATGTCTGTCGCTACCCAGCTAACTGACATGCAAAGTTCAAAATAAGGCTACTGTCGTTTAGTATCACCCAACTAGTGGACTAATGCAAATCCTGCATTTTGATTGGCTACGTTACTAGAGGACTATTAGTAATAGTCCTCGAGTAGCGAAATTGGCGCAATCGAGCGTGACGCTTTCTTTCGTTTTATTCCC